TTTCCATTCCTCTGGGTATATTCCCAGCAGTGGGATAGCTGGGTCATATGGCAGATCTATCTGCAATTGTTTGAGGAACCTCCATACCATTTTCCATAGAGGCTGCACCATTTTGCAGTCCCACCAACAATGTATGAGAGTTCTAGAGTAGTCAAATTCATAGTCAGAAAATAGAATGTTGGTTGCCTGGGGCTGGGGGAAGAAGGGGATGGATAATTCTTGTTTAGTGGTTAGTTTCAGTTTTGTAAAATGAAATGAGTTCTGGAGATTAGTTGCACAACAGCGTGAATGTACTTAACACTGGTGAGCTTTGTACACTTAAAAATGGCTAATATATAGATTTTTTTAGGTATATTTTGTCACAAAAATTTTAAAAAGTGGAAACTTCTGTATGACATATAATAAAGATATAGTAAACAAAGGTTGCAGGGACAGATGACAAAATGGGAGAAGACATTTGCAAATTACCAAGAATTTCCATAATATATAAATAGTTCTTATAAATGAATAAAACCATCTAAATTGAAAAATGTGTCAAAGACTTGCACAGGCAATTTATAGATGAAATGGTCAAAGGTAAGTTGATTATGAAAAGTGAAATATGAAAAGATTCGCCTTCATAATAATGGCAGAAGTACAAATTAAGGTACAAATTAAAATTAATTAAAATTAAAAGCAGCACTTTCTTTCTTTTTTTTTTTTTTTTTTTTTTTTTTTAAAAATGACCGGTAAGGGGATCTCAACCCTTGGCTTGGTGTTGTCAGCACCATGCTCAGCCAGTGAGCAAACCGGCCATCCCTATATAGGATCCGAACCCATGGCCTTGGTGTTATCAGCAGCACACTCTACCGAGTGAGCCACGGGCTGGCCTAAAAGCAGCACTTTCTATCCACCATATTGCCAGGAAATACGTACTTAAGTATGCAGCAAGTCACTTGTACATTTTTGGTGAAAGTGTAAATTTATGATGCTTTTTCCAAAAGCAATTTGAAATTACCAAAATAGAATATATTCAAGTGCTTTGATATTGCAATTCTACTTCTAGGAATCTAGCCTATAGAGGTATTTGCACACGTGTAGAATAATATGTGCTCAAGGACATTTGTTGCAGCATTATTTGTAAGAGCAAAAATTTGGGGGAGAAAAACCCCAAATGTCCACTGATAAGGAAATAGTAGTTGAATTATGATACACTCATAGAAAGTGTTACGTAGATCATGTTTGTTTTTGTTATGTAGCTTTTAAAATAGAATAACATCTATATTTTGAGAGAAACAGATCTATAAAGTATGTAAGTGGCAAATAATAGAAAAGTGTATTATAATGATTCCTTTTATGTAAATAAAACCCAACTGTATATGTATGAACATATGTGAATATCAGTTCAAAGAAAGGACATGTAACTGGTAATGTTTAAGTTGAATAAATTGACTTTTTTTTTTTTTTTGATGACTGGCTGGTATGGGGATCCAAACCCTTGACCTTGGTGTTATCAGCACCATGATCTACCAAGTAAGCTGACCAGCTGACCCTTAATTGACTCTTAAAGAGATCATAATCTCGTATTGCTAGTGTAATTTTTAACAAATCATACATGGGGGAAAACTTACATATACTCATTTCAAAAATTAGGAATATGCGGAAAAGAAAAAGTAGCAACCGCAACAAAAAAAGATCCACAATCTCATCATCCAGAATCAGCACATCTAAATCTCTTATCATAGTTTATTAGTCTTTTTGAATAGTGTGAATAAGAGGAATATTATGAAATAACTGCATATTTAGAATAAATATAATTCATATTTTTTTCTTTTCTTTAAACAGTTTTTTTCCACTAACAGAAGGTAATTTGCATACTATTCAAAGTTTGTGTCCGTTTATGTCAAAAGAAGAAAAGAAAGAATTTAGCGCTCAATGTATACCTGCTCTTTTGGGCTGGACTAAGAAAGATCTTTGCAGTACTGATGGTTAGTTGCTCGATAATAAATATTTTATTAATTATCGCTTGAGATGAAAGCAGTGTAGTTTTTAGTATATAAAACTAAGCCTAGCAGATTTAATTATGGCTGATTTGTTCCTAGTTTATATGGATGAGTTGGAGAGTGGCTATTATCATTTTGCAGTACAGAAATGTTATAGCCTTAAAGGAAGATTTATACCCACAAATACCTTCTCATCATTTCTTTTTCATTTATAGCTTTTAAAGTTATACCTCATTTCTCCCTAGTCAGCCAATGATTGAACATATAAAGGCAGAAGAGAGAATAGCTTTTGTTGTAGAGACTTTTGAACACTGCACTTTATTCATTTGCTTATTAATTTAATAAACACTATGAGCACCTGCTATATGGGAGTTCCTATTGTACAGAAGACAGATGTAAATAAAGTTATATCACGTCATAAGTGATGTAGAAAAAAAGATATACTATGTATATAAGTGGTAGGAAGGAAGGAATTTCCATTCTGCTTTGAGGGTGTCAGTGGTGATTTTACAAAGAGAAATATTTCAACTGGGTGTTTTAGGATAAATAGTTTTCCATATGGACATAGTTGAGGGAGGGCATTCCTGGCACACAAAAACATAGAAGGATGCAGATAGTTCAGTTTGGCTGGCATTTAAGGAAGAAGTTTAGGGACAAAGGGTGTTAAGATGCACCAGAAAATGGATTTTGAGAAATGATAGGGATTCTAAAGAGTGGGGACTCCATAAGAGCTTACCAGATGTAGTAATTGCTTATTGAGTGATGAATATATTAATTATGGAGCAGTGTGTTCTATTTTCCATCCTTGTTAACTTGCATTCTATAGCTGTGGTTTCTTTTATTTTTATTTGAGAGGTGAATATGCTGAATATGTCCTGTACTTAAGAAACCAAAATAAAAGACAGCATAGATTAGTTTAAAGCACAATTGTTTTTCACTTACTAATTCCCTATTCTGTGCTAGGTGCTGTGTGCGAAGACAGGGTCTCTGCCCACTGGAGCTTACAAGCTCATTTGTTGATTCTTTAATATAAGCCAGTTTTAGAGTTCTTAACTTGGGCACTTCTCAAGAGAGAAGCCTCAAAGTAGACTTTCTTATAATAGCAATACAATTTTATAATTTTTTTAATTTTAATTTTTAATTTTACTTCAGGGGGTTTTGGACATCTTGCCATTTTCAATTCTTGTCTGCAAACAAGAAGTGTAGACGATGAAGAGCTATTGCATGGTATATTAAAAATTATAATATCCTGGAAGAAAGAGCATGAAGACATTTTTCTTTTCAGTTGGTAGGTGATACTTTATGCTATGTTTTCCCCCTATATACAATGCAGACCCACATGAAGAAAGAGCATGAAGACATTTTTCTTTTCAGTTGGTAGGTGATACTTTATGCTATGTTTTTCCCCTATATACAATGCAGACCCACATTATTATCTTTTTTTTTTTCCTTTTTGTCTTTTTTCATGTCCGGCAACGGATCGCAACCCTCAGTGTCGCGCCCGTACCGGACCGGGACTGGCAACAGGATCGCAACCCTCGGTGTTGCTCCCATACCTCGCTCAGCCAGTGAGCGGGAACCGGTCTGTACGTGGGATCCGAACCCTCGGCGGGAGTGCCACCGTGCTCCCAAGCGGCGCACTGTAGCAGTGCGCCACCAGGGCGCCCCTACACATTATTATCTTAAAGTCACAATTTTTTAGAGTAATAGGATGGTAGACATTTAAGTCAGTCATTTATAAGTATGGTATATGAGATTTAAAATAGGATATTTTCCAATTTAATGTTAATATAATTCTTTAATGCTTTTCAGTTTTTCATTTTTGTTTTGTCTTTATTACAGTAATCTATCAGAAGCAAGACCAGAGGAACTGGGTGTAAATATAGAAATAATTCGTTTCCTTTCCCTATTTCTGAAATACTGCTCATCTCCTTTGGCAGAGAGTGAATGGGACTTCATCATGTGTTCCATGTTGGCTTGGTTGGAGGTAAATTAACTGGATATGTCATCACCTCTGTTGGATCTTTGTGCATACGTGTATATCAGAACTGTTTACTAATCTTTAAGTAATGATTGTAATTAACTCCTTGGCAAACATTTTAAACACTTTCTAAATGTTCTCCTCACCGGCTACTGTTTGACAAAATAGTAAAATGATGGTTTAATGACTGCCAGCATCATTCAATGACCAAGTCTCCTGCTATTAAAATGTTCTTTCTCTTAGCTTATTTTAATATAATGTTTGCAGCACAGCCTTTTCAGGTTTTATCTTTTCATGACAAATTTTTTGGTATTTTTTGTTTGTAATTAAATTATTTCTAAAATGTACTATGTCATTATTGCCAGAGTAATACATTAAAAACAAGCAAATTCTGAGGGAATTAGTGTACTTTTTTTGACCCAAAAGAGCCAGAGGTATAATACATGTGGGGTCTGAGGCATTAAGTCAGTAAGGCTTAGTTGGTCTGAGTCCCTGCTTTGCCTGCTTTTAGCTATGTGACTTAGCTAAAACAACAGCTCGAACTGTTTGAGCCTAAGTTTCCTTATTTTGAAATAACTTAGTAATGTGCAGCTTGCAGTGTGCTACTGAGAAGATTAGAGATGTGTATTTAATGTGTCTGACTTGGTAAATGGTAAGAGAGATTGTTTTCTTCCATAGTTGAGAAATTAGAAATGGTACTTCAGAATAAATTGTTCACTAATGATTTTAATTTCTAGTATTTAATTTGGAAAAAAAAGTCACTTTGATGTAAAATATATAAAGTTTTCCTGAGACTATACACTTCAACTGCTTTTTATTTTAAAATTCAACGAAATGAATGAGAAGTTTCTCTTTATTTTCTTTATTTGTATTGTTCTTGTAGAAGTCTGCTTACCTATTGAATTTTTATTGTTTCTTTAGACAACAAGTGAGAATCAGGCATTGTATTCTGTTCCACTCGTACAGCTGTTTGCCTGTGTCAGCTGTGATTTGGCCTGTGATCTCAGTGCTTTTTTTGATTCCCCAACTCCGGACATCATTGGCAATCTTCCTGTAAATCTAATCAGTGAATGGAAAGGATTTTTTTCCCAAGGCATCCACAGTTTGCTTTTACCTATTTTGGTGACTATTACAGGCAAGTGAAAAAGGGAATAATAATAAGATTCATTGAAATGACTTGTTGAAAAATTCAAAACAAAAACCTAGGATGTTTAAATCAAACAGTATTGAACAGTAAAAGAAAAGAGCCAGAAGGGAAAGCTTGGCTTCTCAGAAGCATGATATATGCTTTTGCTTTACAGACAAGAATTGAAAAAATGGCAGGGCATCCAGTGACCACTGTAAATTAAAATAATAGTAATTCAGATAACATGAATAGAACCTCTCTATTGAACATTTGCTTTCTATTTAAATGATGAGATAAAAGTCATTAAAACAGTTGAGATATACTGAAATATGTTCAGCTCATGTTTCTAGTTAGGACTGCTCTAATGTTTATGTCTAGTTTTTATTTTATTTTCTTAAATGACATTTGATTATGAATCAGTCAAGTTATATCACTAACTTTCTTTTGGGGTGTGCATGCTTCTTTCCTTTTTGTCATCAGGAGAAAACAAAGATATATCTGAAACATCCTTTCAGAATGCCATGCTGAAGCCCATGTGCGAAACATTAACATATATCTCAAAGGATCAACTATTGAGTCACAAACTTCCTGCAAGATTGGTTGCTGGCCAAAAAACAAACTTGCCAGAATATCTCCAGACCTTATTAAATACATTGGCCCCATTACTTCTCTTCAGAGCTAGGCCTGTGCAAATTGCTGTTTATCATATGCTATACAAGTAAGAATTCTTCCAATTGAATCAAGTTATAGTGGTCTAAAAAATATATATTTAGTTTTTACTTTATTAAAAAATGTCAAAAAACCAAAAAAACAAAAAAGGAGACCTATGTATTTCAATAATAGGGACTCCAAGTTGTTTGATCTTTTAGGCCATTGTTCTCCATACACAATTTATGTTTAGCTAGTCCTGATCATAGGTGGTTATTTCAGAGAAAACTCATTTAAAAATATACTCATTACAAAACAATTATTGGCCTTTCTGCTCTTGAACATGATTTAACAATGTACAGTTTAATATAAAATACTTTAATGTCTTAATTTCCAGATTGATGCCTGAATTACCACAATATGATCAGGATAATCTAAAGTCATATGGAGATGAAGAAGAAGAACCAGCCTTGTAAGTTCTTTTTAATTTGTTTTATTAAATTCTCATAATCCATCTCACAATATCTTTAGAAGACTGAAGCTTGGAGAAGACCTGTGTTTATGGACTGGGAGAAGGAAGCCACAAGGGAAGAAAGATCACAGAGGTAAAAGGGGAGAACCAAGCTAGAGTATCATAGAGGAGAGAGTTTGAAATGACATAAATAAGTATTTCACTTTTTGAGAATCTCATAAGTCCACCCTGAAAGTGTTAATAAGTATAGGAGTTCAATAAAGAAGAAAACTAAATCACATTGTCATATATTAATGTGAATGTTAAATTTACTTTCCTGAAAAGAGATACGGTTTTAGGATTTAAAAAAGCATGTGTTTCCTGTGTTTATCATTCTGATTAATAGTGATTATTGTGACATCTTTTTATTTAATACTGCTGGATAGTAAGGAGACATTATGCAATAAGATAGAAACTAGGGTGACATGACAAAGTTCAAAGTCTAGTCCTCTCTTTGCCCTTTATAGGATGATAAATGGCCTGTTAGGACTTAAAAGCCCTAGTAGTTCCCCTTACTAGCTGGGAGACTTTGTATTAATCATTTGGCTTCTCTGGGTGTGTGATTTTTTTCATCTATAAAACAAAGTTAAAATACATGATTTTCTAAAAGTGTCTTTCCTAGAGCTAGCCCGTGGCTCACCTGGGAGAGAATGGTGCTGATAAGACCAAGGCCACAGGTTCGGATCCCTATATAGGGATAGCCGGTTAGCTCACTTGGGAGAGCGTGGTGCTGACAACACCAAGTCAAAGGTTAAGATCCCCTTACTGGTCATCTTTTAAAAAATAAATAAATAAAAGTGTCTTTCAAGAGCTAAAATGTACGGTCCATATGTTTGTAAGCACATCTTTCAGATTCTGCAGTTGTCATTATATGAAATTAGCACTTAAAACTATAAAGGGGAATTTTTTTTGAAGGTTTTTAAGAGTAGAGAAAGATTTTTATAAATGCTCGAAGTTTATAAATGCTGTCAATTTGTTAAGGGATGAATTATAAAGAAAACTGTGATGGTTAATCATTGATTCTTAGGTCGCCACCGGCAGTGCTGATGTCTCTTCTTAGCATTCAAGAGGACTTACTAGAAAATGTTTTGGGGTGTATTCCTGTTGGACAGATAGTTACTATTAAGCCACTGAGTGAAGACTTCTGTTATGTTCTGGGATATCTCCTCACTTGGAAATTAATACTTACTTTCTTCAAAGCTGCTTCATCCCAGGTAAATAAATATGTGACAACTTTTGACAGTTCTGTCCAGATGTGTTTCTCTGTTACAATTCTAAACACTTCCTTTCCCTCCTTTTGAATAAAAAGGAGAAATGCTTTACATTTTAATCAAATCTTACCTCGTTAACTTCAGACGTTCTGCTACTAAGTTTACTTCTGTCCCTACTTCTTCACCCCTCCAAGCAGTTTTTGCAAAATTAATTAATCCCTGAAATGTGCCTGGATCAAAATTTTTAAACTGAGTATAATCACAAGTCCTTTTATTACATTTATATAACATTTAATTTTGTGCTACCATAGTTGTAATTTCTGAACAATTCGATCTTGTAATTCTTTTTTCTTTTTTTTTTGTCAATTTCTGACTCTCTTGTGGAGATTTCAGTTGATGCATCATTGGAAAATTACCTTATTTGAAAGTAATTGTTCAGAGAAAGATCTATGAGGCATTATCTATGAAATTCAAACTATTATCTCTAAGTGGTGAAAATATCCTATCATAACTATTTTGCCCAAATTAGTCTAGCAGCCACTAGATGTCTCTGTTGTCTCATGTTTAGTAAGACCGAAGAAACTGGAAAGATCTACTTCAGTTTTTATTTCTTTTAGAAAGATCCCCACTTAAAAAAGAAGTCTCAAATTTTGATTGAATCAGCCTAGTAAAATATGTGCCTTCTTTGACAGGTCAATTCAAAAAGACTTAGTTTATCGCTTCATATATAAAGTGTGAATAACTATTCATAGTATTCATTTTTAATGTGATTTTTCAGAATTCTTAAATTATAAATCATATTGTCGCTCATAACCCATACCCTGGTACAAATATATGAATCTATGCATCTTTGCATTTGTAAATCTAAGGGGAAATTCAAATCATAGAGGCAACATTGATGTAGTTGTCAAATAGATTAGTTTTACTTCTCTCTTCAGGACTGTCAGTTATGTTTGTGATTTAAGCTAGTTTTTTTTTGCTGGTGATGTATTTCAAGAGCTCCTTGTTGGGCTGTTATATTTCTTAAAATACTGTTGATCTTTAAAGAATCCACAGATTGAGGCTTCTCTGTATAAGAATTCTGTCCTTGTCATCTTATATTCAGAAATTAGGAAAATGGCTATGCATCATCATCTTCATTAAGTTGGGATGGGGGCGGGGGTGCAAAGAATTACACAGCAGCATTTATTATTGAGCCTAAAACTTGAACTGAGCTGTGGACAGATAAACCAGAATAACCCAATAAATAATACTAATTTGATTAATCCTAAAATAAATGGAATTTTTTAAAAAAAAAACTTTAGTTGGTCCTAAATTATAGGTTGTTCTTTAACTTTCTTCTCAAAAAATCATATTGAACTGGAAACAATGCTGTATGTGTGTTTTATAGCTTCACTAAGCTATATTTCACATACCATAAAATTTATCCATTTAAAGTGCACAGTCTGTTTTTAGTATATTCACAGAGTTGTGCAACTATTGCCATGATCCAATTATAGAACATTTTCAGCATCCCCAAAAGAAACTCATACCTGTTAGTAGTCACTTTCCATTTCCTCTCAAAATCCCCAGCTCCTGGCAAACACTGATTTATGTTAAAGCCCATTGATATGGCTGATTAATTTTTTAAAAAATTGTTCTCTTTCCTCCAACTTTTTATTTTGAAAAAAATTCAAATTTACAGAGAAGTTGGAAGAATAATTCAGTGAAAATTCATATAACCTTCTCCTAGGTTCACAGATTTTTAACATATTGCGCATTTGCACCTATTTTCTCTATATTAACATTTTTCCTGCTGATCTGCTTGAAAGTAAGTTACAGACATCATGGTGCTTTACCAAAAGTATTTAAGCATTATATTTCTTAAGAACAAGGACAGGTTTCTACATAAGCGTAATACAATTATTATACTCAAGACATTTTGGGCCAGAGCAAAGCCTTATAACCAAAGTCATGGGTTCAGATCTCCATACCAGCCAGCTGCCAAAAAAAAAAAAAAAAAAAAGAAATTTAATTTTGATGCAATAATTTCTAATTTGTCTTTAAATTTCTCCAGTTGTCCCAGTAATATCTGTTATAGTTTTATTTTCTTCTCTATCAAGATTCAGTCAAGGATTATGTTTACATTTGTTTGCCAAATTAGTTTCTTTAACCTATAATTCCCTTTTCTTTTTTTCTCTTGTCATCATTTTGGCCAGTTTTCTGTCATATAATTTGGATTTGTATGATTGTTTTCTTATGACTAGATTCTGGCAAATTTTCAGCAAGGGTACTTACTGCACTATTTGTATATGTCCTTAGCGTATTACCTCAGGAAGTACATAGTGTCAATGTGTCCCTTTATTGATAATGTTAAGTTGGTTACTCAATAAAGGTAGTGCCCCCTAGGTTTTTCCATTGTAAAGGTACTTTGATCAATCGATTTTAAGAATTTATTTCCAATTTTATGTCTTGATCCTGGTATTTGAGTATCCATAGTGTTTATAAAATGATGTCTTTGTACTAGGAGATGTATGGAATTGTGAAAGAAATCATGTTAAAACACATACCAAAGAATTGCAAAGTAAATGTGAAAATGCACACTACATTATTGAGGGACAAGGAGGAGTTGTAAAGCATGGATCTCAGACAGATGCCTATACTCCTCCAAGTGGTGCCAGATTTTTCAGTTTTTGAAAGATAAACCAGAAATCCATATTTTTATGTGAAATTTCCTTATTGATGAAACAACTGTGAGAACACCCAAAGACATTTTGGTCAATAGTTTGTGCTGTCTGTCCAAAAGGGATGCTGGAGTGTTTGATAAGGGGTGAGGTCAGCCATGTAAAACGGGATTAGTTTTAAGCAGGAATTTGAAAGATTAAGGACAATGGTGTGGAAGGAATGTGCAGAAGACTTGGGAGGAGAGTGTGCAAGTCAACTGTGGGGAATGGTGACAAGATTTTCTTGGCTCAGAGATTCCAGGTCAAGATAAGTCTTATTAATGGGGAGACAATTTGAGAAAGATGTTAGAACCAAATGACTTATAACACAGGGACAGTGAGGACGTTTGCTAGTTTATAAGGAAAGGAAGCAGTGCTACATCATATGGCATATTTGGAAAGTAAGAATGTGGCATATATTTTGTAGGACTCTTCTGTATAATTCTCAGTGTTCAAATTAATGCTATTTTTATTTTGTTCTTGTACAACCTGTTATACTTTGATTTGTTCTTTTCTTGGGTTAATTGGGTTTACTAACACATTCTTTGCTCTCCACCAGCTTCGGGCTCTGTATTCTATGTACCTTCGGAAAACGAAGAGTTTAAATAAATTGCTCTATCACCTGTTCAGGCTTATGCCAGAAAATCCAACCTATACAGAGACAGCTACTGAGGTCTCAAATAAAGACCCTAAAACATTCTTTACTGAGGAGCTCCAGCTGAGTATTAGAGGTCAGTAAGATATGTTTTTGTGTTCTTTCTTGGAAACTAGGTTCAGACTAGGTTGTATTAAACTTTCCCTTGGGGGTGTGGAGAATAACCCCAAACATGGGTGCTGGCTGTGAGAATGTTTAAAATGTAAGATCTTCTATATTTCTCTAAATAGGACAAATAATTAGATCTTATGGGTAAGGTTGTGAGGAATTTAATAAATGTTTGAAGCATAGTGTTTTGAGACTGTTATCTTTTAGTCTGTAAAGAAATATTTGTTATATGATAACATTTTGTAGGCATGTAAATAATCTTTAGTTGGGGAAACAAAGATGAGTAAAATATATTTTCTTCACTTTGGGAGCTCAAGTTTTAGCTGAGAGGATAGGCATGCATGCTTCTAGCTGTACTACAGTATTATAATCCATTTACTAAGACTAGGAATTTTTAAAATGCCCTGGGGATCTGAGGATGGACTGCATCTTGTGAATATTGAGGTGGATATTTTAGGACTTTTGCATAGCAGGTTGTTGAGCTCTGAGAAAAGTGAAGGAGGCCACACTCCTTTTCATAATTTATAGCAAAGAGAATCATTCCATTCTATTTGTGGTCTTTCATGTGAAACATAGAATGCTATTTCTAGGTAGATTTTTCAGTGTCAGTTGGGATTTTTATTCTTTTTGCTTCTTTTGCCATTCGTATGGTTCATTTGGAATGTGTGGGAGGATGCTAATACTCCAGAGTTCTGGTTTCTCTGGTACGTTTGTTTGATGAGCTATAGCAGTATTGTTGAGGAGTTAAAGATGACTTTCTATGGAAAATACTAATATTAGTCTGTTTTCTGTGTAAGAAATACATGTTTACTAACTAAGAATTTGTTTTTTCCTCAGAAACAGCAGTTCTTCCATACCATATTCCACACTTGGCTTGTTCAGTCTATCATATGACGTTAAAAGACTTGCCCGCCATGGTTAGGCTGTGGTGGAATAGCAGTGAAAAGCGTGTTTTCAGTATTGTAGATAGATTTACAAGCAAGTATGTCAGCAGTGTTCTTTCTTTTCAAGAAATATCTTCTGTGCAAACAAGTACACTACTATTTAATGGCATGACGGTTAGTATTGTCTTGACTTTCTCTAGAAAAGTTGTTTGAATATTGGTTATGTCTGTCGTTGTGAATATCATTACAAAATTATAGCCCTTGATTCAGAATTTACAGATATTGTCTAATTTTCTGAATCTTGTGTCAGATCTCAAAATTACTTAATGTGTAGATTGAAATGGGGATTTCAGTTTCATTTGCCTACTAAACAGGTTTTGTTTTTTTTTGTTTCTTGGTTTAGTTTGGTGGCTGGCCAGTATGAGGATCTAAACCCTTGACCTTGGTGTGATAACACCATGCTGTAACCAACTGAGCTAACAGGCCAGCCCCCCACTAAATAGTTTTTGAGCATTCCTTAGTTCATTCAAAATATATGTTGGAATGCTTACACATTATCATCCTTTACAGAGTTAATCTTCTGACTTTCGTATTTCCAGGCTAGCATCATTTAAAATTTCTCCTTCTATCTCAACCTAGATATTAACTAGTTTCAAGTTTGGCTAAATCACCACCATAAACTCTCTCACATCTCTACATAACAAATGCCAAGCACTGTGTACTAATCACCTGGGAAATGAACAGTTTAGTAGTGTCAGATTCCTGTCCTATAATAACATATAATCTAATTATGGGAAAAGAGTGATACTGATAGTTTTTTGTGTTGGAAATTGGGAATTGACACCTTAAGAGAAAGAGTGCTCTGTGATATAAGTGGGAAAGATTCACCTGTCTGATGGGTTTAGGTGAGGCTTTATGGAGGATGATAACTTTGAGGTGGGTAGGATTTTGTTATTTTTCATTAAATATGAAAGGTATTTAATGTAGAGGAAATTGTATGGCAAAAGCAAAAGGATCAAGATGAGAACATAATTTATGATTTCCCGAGTAATGATGAATAACCAGTGTTCATGTAGAATAGGATTCTGGAAGGTGAATAGTCAGAGCAGACTGCCTCAATGATGAATCAGGGCCATGTTGGGAAAGCCCTCAAATAACAGTCTCTAAAGCATTTCGTTCTGTTCAGCTACTGAAGATATTCTATTCAGGCAGTAGGATAGTCAGAGTTACATTCTGTGAAATTGCTCCGACTGAAATATATAGCACGGGCTCTTGACATAGAGCTTGGATACAAATGAATAGTTAGGGGAGATTTTGGGGGTAGACATTATGAGCAAATGAGTAGGGCCTGAGTGATGCATTATCAGTGGAAGTGCAAAAAAGAGTAGAGACGTGAGAGAGTTTATGGTGCTGATTTAGCCAAACTTGAAACTAGTTAATATCTAGGTTGAGGTAGAAGGAGAAATTTAAAATGATGCTCTGGTTTTTAGCCTGGAAATAAGAAAATCAGAAGATTAACTTTGTAAAGGATGATAATGTGTGTTTTGTGTTGAGTTTGTAATGCTAGTATGAAAACCAAAAAAACCGGTTGATAGTTGGCTCTACAGCTCAGGAGAGTTACGTGGTAGAGAAAGACTTGGTAGACGTAGAAGGGATATTTGATACTTTGGGTGTAGAAGAGAAATAATAATTAATAACCTGTTCTGTCATTTTGCTATTCAAAAACTATTTACGTATTATGTGACAAGCCTAATATAGTAAGTCATACTTTCTTAATGAATAGTATTTTTATTTTAAAATAAACTTTGGCGCCGACCCCGTGGCTCACTCGGGAGAGTGTGGCACTGGGAGCACAGCGATGCTCCCGCTGCGGGTTCGGATCCTATATAGGGCTGGCTGGTGTGCTCACTGGCTGAGCGTGGTGCGGGTGACACCAAGCCAAGGGTTGTGATCCCCTTACCGGTCACTTTGAATGTCATAAAATCACCATGAAACATGCTAGGTATTTAAACCTATTCATTAACTATCTTGTGTCAGATCAATGAATGTGTTTACCTGCTTTTTCCTTGATTGAAGACTTTAGTTGCTAATAGTCAACCTATCAAAATGTGTTTTGAATGAAAGAGGAATTTGGCAAAAAAAAATATTACCTTTCATGTTTTGCAGGTTAAAGCTCGAGCTGCTACTCGAGAAGTAATGGCTACTTATACTATTGAGGACATAGTCATTGAGCTTATAATACAACTGCCTTCAAATTATCCACTGGGTTCAATAACAGTGGAAAGTGGCAAGAGAGTTGGAGTGGCTGTTCAGCAGTGGCGGAACTGGATGCTGCAGTTAAGCACCTACCTCACCCATCAAGTAAGTTTCTGCTTAAACATTTGGCTTTCCAAACTAGAGAGAGATGTTCTGTCTGAAAGGGCAGTTAAATACAAAATATATCTCTTCCGCTTAGGATAGAAAGATATTAAATTTCCTTGGATAAGCAGAAGATAATATGCCTAAATGGCTTGAACCTGCCACCTCTGTTTTACTTTTTAAGGCTCTATAATTTTCTGATGTTTGAGAGAGACTGACTTTATTTCATTGACATTGTAGAAGATGTAGAACAGTATATGGTATTTAGGAAATTGCTTGAGGGAAAATCTTTTGAAAGATACTTACCAGATGGAATACTTTCTGAGCGACTTTTAATCTTACATTTCAACTCTCCTTTCAACTCTCCTTTGGTTAGAGGAATCCCAATACTCTCAAAGACCTTTGACCTTTAAACAAATTATAAGTCTTTTCCAGTTCTGTTTGCACATTGTGATGTATCTTGGGCATTGTACAGTAAAGAAAAATTATTTTAAAACAAATATGTTAACCAATATCTCAGAGCTGGAACAAATCAGTTGAGAAGGTGAGACCTTATCTTTAGATTACTTTGTAAATGTTTGGAAACCTTTTCTTTTACAAAAGAGTATTACATATTTGGGAGAAAATATTTATATTAATGGTTTGATCTCTTTGTATGTTTAAAAATAAATATGAAAAAAACCCTAAATTAAAGGATTGGAATTTGTGAAAAATTGTACAACTATATTATACTGATAAACCTATTCAGTTTGTTGATCTGTGTTCTAGAACAGTCCAAGTGAGGCAAAATGAATTGAGAAAGCTGATTTACATCTACAGATATTTTATGACTTATTTATTAGTAATGACAAAAAATTAGTAGTATTCTGATATTTGTAAATTATTTTGATGATAGAAATGATACCAAACTATTAATATGGCTTATCTTAAGCTACTTGAAGCATGTCCTGAAATCCTGTATATAAGAGTGTAAACTGAACTATAAGGTGCCTCCATTTATCAAGGGTTATGAAATTCAGAAAATTAAATTTATGACACTGACCTCTAGCTTGTGGAAGAATNTTAATGGAGAAAAATTACATCTGGTTCTTAAAACTTGGGAGGTTATTTAAAAAACCAGCATTCATAAAACTTAGGAGATGTGAAGGTAACCAAGCAGATTTTTTTTTCTTTCAGAATTACAATTCAACTTTAAAATTTGTGCAATTGAATAAAAATAACATTGATGGTCTATAACATATAGTGACTCTTATTTTTCTTTTTGTTAACAGAATGGAAGTATAATGGAAGGTTTAGCATTATGGAAAAATAATGTAGACAAACGTTTTGAAGGTGTTGAAGATTGTATGATCTGTTTCTCAGTCATTCATGGTTTCAACTATTCTCTTCCCAAAAAAGCCTGTAGAACATGTAAGAAAAAGTTCCATTCAGCCTGCTTGGTAAGTCTAAAGAGAAATTAACTTACGTATATTTTATGTATTTAATATCTTACTTTGGAAAATAAATCAATATATGTTAAACTCTTAATTGTAGTTACTGGGAGACATATTAAAAATAATGTATGTTAAACTCCTAATGTAGTTAATGGGAGACATACTAAAAAGTTATTTTTCAAAATCTGCAAAAGATAATTAGTAATTTACTGAGACTGATAGCATCAAAACACTTAAATAAGTGGATGTTTCTTTCTTTCGTGGCTGGCCAGGATGGGGATCCGAACCCCTGACTTTGGCATTATAACATTGTGCTCAAACCATCTGAGGTAAACCAGCCAGCCCATGGATGTTTGTAATAAAGCACTCAGCACTTAAGAAGTAGATGGTGTTGGGAGATCTAGACCATGAAGGAGACTACCAGAATTGGGCCTGGGGGCATCTGGCACCAGAGCCCTTTATTCTTTTTAAACATGTTATCGAAAAGGTAGTTGCCGTATGTTCACTTGCTTCACAGGATATCTTATATCTTAGTGGTTGTGTGTGTAAACCTAGGTAGAAAGAATCATGGTGTAGTTTTTAGAAGTAATACTCAGTTGTGTTGATTTTGGAGGTAAGAGGAGAGAACAAAAACTTGTGTATTCTCCTTTATTCACTTTATCATTTGAAAACACTTTAGATGTATATATGTAAGATGACAGCTTAAAAAGGTTATTTTAACATGTAAAACCTTTTATTTTTCAGTACAAATGGTTTACATCTAGCAACAAATCCACTTGTCCACTCTGTCGTGAGACTTTTTTCTGAGATTTTTTTTCATTGGCAGTAATCCCTGAAGTAAATCAAGCAAAGACATTGGATTTGGATCTATCTTAAAATGTCAATGTGAAGAAGCCAGTGAGAAATACTTTTAAATAGAACCTTCTCTGGAAAATTATTTTGGTTAATGAAATGATCCTAAAATAAGGTTTACTTATCTTTAGATTACTTTGTAAATGTTTGGAAACCTTTTCTTTTACAAAAGAGTATTACATATTTGGGAGAAAATATTTATATTAATGGTTTGATCTCTTTGTATATTTAAAAATAAATATGAAAAAAACCCTAAATTAAAGGATTGGAATTTGTGAAAAATTGTACAACTATATTATACTGATAAACCTGTTCAGTTTGTTGATCTGTGTTCTAGAACAGTCCAAGTGAGGCAAAATGAATTGAGAAAGCTGATTTACATCTACAGATATTTTAAGACTTATTTATTAGTAATGACAAAAAATTAGTAGTATTCTGATATTTGTAAATTATTTTAATGATAGAAATGATACCAAACTATTAATATGGCTTATCTTAAGCTACTTGAAGCATGTCCTGAAATCCTGTATATAAGAGTGTAAACTGAACTATAAGGTGCCTCCATTTATCAAGGGTTATGAAATTCAGAAAATTAAATTTATGACACTGACCTCTAGCTTGTGGAAGAATTATTTTCATGTATTAGTGAAATTTGAATTGTAAACATGTCACTGAATTTATTACTCAGTTTGAGCGAATCTCCAGAGGGTGAGAATTTGAGAGAAATAGTAATTTGATTATTTCATTCATGAAGCAGAGTGGTAGTTATCCATCTACTGAGAGGGAAGAAGTAAATGAGTATTACTGAAACTTAAAAGATTGGTGGAAAAACAAACTATTTTAAAAATGTTGTAGGAGGTTTTCAATTTTGTAAGCAAATTTTGATATTCTTACCAGCCAGAGTTCCACAAATAAAATTTGTTGGAGCTAATTTTTTTCCAGCCTTCAGAAGAAATGAAAGTTAAGAATTTTAGTACTAAGTAAAATTTAGTATAACAGGCTGATATGGAGTAGGTAAAAACTTGCCTTTTGCAACAACACCATTACCCTTAAAAATTGTGCCCAAAATATGAAAGTTTGGAACTTGGAGTAATTTTATTGTAGTCTTCCATTACATGGGAAATAGCATATCTAAATAGCTACATTGAAAGATCAGTTAATCATTTGTGTTGCAAATGTTTGATTGGCAAAAAGCAACTCATGTGAAATAAAATTACTGCTTACTATCAACTGGGTAAAATGACTGTTATTGAAATAGTATGAATGGTCAGAGGATTATATTCGACAGTGAATTATTATGTGTGAGTTATAGATCTCTTGAGTTGTATTTGTAGATGTAGTGCTGTCCCACTTTTNCAAATTTTGATATTCTTACCAGCCAGAGTTCCACAAATAAAATTTGTTGGAGCTAATTTTTTTCCAGCCTTCAGAAGAAATGAAAGTTAAGAATTTTAGTACTAAGTAAAATTTAGTATAACAGGCTGATATGGAGTAGGTAAAAACTTGCCTTTTGCAACAACACCATTACCCTTAAAAATTGTGCCCAAAATATGAAAGTTTGGAACTTGGAGTAATTTTATTGTAGTCTTCCATTACATGGGAAATAGCATATCTAAATAGCTACATTGAAAGATCAGTTAATCATTTGTGTTGCAAATGTTTGATTGGCAAAAAGCAACTCATGTAAAATAAAATTACTGCTTACTATCAACTGGGTAAAATGACTGTTATTGAAATAGTATGAATGGTCAGAGGATTATATTCGACAGTGAAGTATTATGTGTGAGTTATAGATCTCTTGAGTTGTATTTGTAGATGTAGTGCTGTCCCACTTTTGTTTGTCTCCTAAATTTTTCCGTATAGTATTTATCTTCTAGCCTTGAGGCTCAATGAGTCAGTAAGTGAAGTACAGATAGCAAAGTTCTACTACCTCTTCTTAACCCCTTTCTTAAAATATTCTCTATCTATCTATGTCTCTCTCTGACATACTAATCTCAAAAGGTTGTATTATTCCCCTGTGAAAGTTACACACTTCTTTTAAAAATGGCTTTATAGTAAGACTTTATTTATAACCTTCCCAGTATTGGTACTTCTTGGTTCTAACCCAAACCTCAAGTAGAAAAGAAAAGGGAATAATGGAATGGTGTTTTCCACATTAGGGTGTCAGGTTCTTAGTGAAACACTGTAATTAAGTAATTATAATTAAATAACTACTTTTCATACTTAGGACTCTTAATACATTTATTTAAGATTGTAAGTATAATTGTAAAGCTTGTTACTGTTTATATGCTAAAGAAAAAGCTTTCCAAAATAAGACTGATATTCAGAATACCATGTTAAGGTTTTATTTATATAGCTTTGACAACTCTAACAAAAAGGATAGCAGCCTTAAAATTTTAGCATAGGGACATTTTAAAATTGCATGAGATTCAAAGCCCATTAAATTATTGATTTAAAACCCCAAAGTAAATTGCCAATTTTAAAATTTATTTTTGATTCTGTTATTTATTATATGCTCTAATGTATGTACATAAGTTTCTCTGGCTTAAACAATTACTATGTTATTACCTGATATGTTTTTGTGGTGTGGATAATGTTATTATTTGATTGTTATACCATACGTTCCCATTAAAAAATTTTTTAACAGCAAAATATTTCAGATATACAGAAAATAATAATAATATAAATGCACTTGTACTCTTCACATACTATTTTGCCATATTTGCTTCTGATTTTTAAAGAAATAAAATGTTACTCTTTTTGTAATCCTCCCTGGCGCCATTCTCCTTCCCTCCCTAGAGTTAACCTGCTATTCTGAAGGTGGTGCGACTCCTTCCTGTTTAAAATCTTATACTTTACCACATTTCTATCCATAAACAATATAGGATAGTTTAAAGAACAATTTATGTTCATGATATCCTATTGTATGTAATCTTTTGTAACTTGTTTTTGCACTTAACTGTCATTTATATCATTATATTATTTTACTAACCAATTCCCCCATCAATGGTTATTTCAACTGTTATTTTTTGACGTTTTTGAACAGTGCCGCAAGTGTACCTTCTTCGTCATGTCTCCTTATGCAGATGTACTAGATGTTCTGGACATGCCTAAACATGGACTTTCAGGTAGTAGGATATGTATACTCTATAATTTTAGTTGTTGTCAAATTGCTCTCCAAAGTGGTGTTCAAGTTTGTACTCCCAACAGCAGCGTTAAAAGAATTTTGGTTTTCGTACCTTGTCACCAGCACTTAGTATTAACAGAATTTAAATTTTCTAGTCTTAGAACTATGAGATAGTAGCTATTTGTTTTAATTTATATTTCCCTGACTACCAAGAATCCTAGTTTCATTTCATATATTTGTTGGTCATTATTTTGTGAGTTTATCGTCCATAATCTATGCCTATTTTTTTTACTGAATTACTTATATTCTTATCGATCATAATGCTTTATCTGCTCTGGGACTTCTAGTATGTGTCTTTAACATAGTCTGTGACTGTCTTTAATGTCACAGAATTATTTTTCAGATAAATTTAATCAAATTGATCATTCTTTTTCTTTATGATTGAGCCTTCTTTGTGTTAGGTTTTTAAAATTTCTTCCTTCTCTGAGACTTAAAAAATTCTGTTTTGTTCTAAAAGTTTAAAATTTTAAGATGTGCCCAGTTCACCTGGAATTAATTTTGTGACTGTTGTGAAGTAGAATCCTTACTCTGTATTGATAGCTATTTCTCATAGCAACATTTATTAAATAGTACACTCATTCTGTTGGCTTTGTAGTGCCTCCTCTCTTATATGAGGGTACTTCAAAAACATCTTGGAAACATTTAATCGAAAGATAACACAATCTTTCCATGAACTTTTTGAAGACCCTGGGTATTACTAAATCCTCTTGTATGTGTGGATTGATTTCTGGGCTCTATACTGTTTCACTGATCTATTTGTCTATCTGTTCTAATTCTACAAATTTATTTTTTTTCTTTAAAATATAGCTTTATAATTAATCTTGAAGGGTAGGTGAGTAGTCTTCTATACTTTTCTTCTTCATGACTTCTTGGCACCCTTGGGTACCCATCTTCTATCCAAGAGCCTCCTCTTCCCTTATTTATTTAGTATCATGGCCAATTTGTTCTTCTAATGGGTAGTCTTATGGAAGAATTTGACAAATGTTCTTCTTAGTTTTTATCTGGTACAACCTGGTAGCTCTTCTTACTTTGCCAGATCTTATCATCTAGGTCTTACAACCCAATTATTCTCAATTTTTTTTTTTTTTCAAAATTGGAGGCAAAAAATTTTGTATATCTAAAATGGAACCCTTGAACCTCTTCATGGATTTGTCTTTCCATTTTATGTAAGTCCCTTGCAAAGGGACTTTGGTTAGAGCAGGGTGTTTATCATGGGAGTTTTCTATTTCCAGTAGCTTTGATAATGTCTTTTCTTATTATGGATTTATTTTTTTTAAGGACAAGAATTTCTTTGGGAAGTACCAGGACATCAAATAATTTGTGTATTTGGTGTTTGGATTTTGTAGGGATATCTGAGGAGGTTAAAAAACACTTAGCTTTCATGGCATTCCAAATTCATATGCTATTTCAAAAGCATACTGGCTATCAGTAATTCACAATTTGATGTGCCCAATAGAATACAACAAGTTTGGCCAGTGGAACCTGTTTGGGTGCTAGTAAGGTACTGAAATGAGTCTGGTGTCATTATTGCATAACCTGCTGGCATTGTTCCTTTTCAGTGTTTAAGACCTATTAACCACCAGTATTTGTGAGAATTTGGTAGGGAAATGTTCAAAATGTCTGTTCTGGTCACAGACACCTCTCAAACTGCAGAACCATAATCATGGGTTTCTTCTTCATCAACTAAGGGTAATAGAGTTTCTGAATTCAGAAATTTAGTTTAAATTAATTTAAATTTCAAAATAGACACTTGATCCAGTTACTGGAAAAATTTTAAGTATATTTGGAACAATTTGGGTATGTGAACTTACCTTTTCAACTATAAATTTTAGTTCCTCAGTCAGACTTGCCAAATTTCTTTTTTTTTTTGGCAGCTGGCCAGTATAGGGATCTGAACCCTTGACCTTGGCCTTACAAGCCTGCACTCTAATCAACTGAGCCAACTGGCCAGCCCTCAGACTTGCCAAATTTCAAATGTTCAATAGGCACATGTGGCTAATGGTTACTGACTGTATTGGATAGTACAGGCCTTACCTTATATACAAAAAGAAAGACATGTGATACTCTAGGAAGAGTCTATCTGAGACTCTTGAATTCAGCTACTAATACTTT